TGGTGATGTTATTGCTTTCCCTTGAATGTGAAAAAGTATAGCAAACAACATCTCTATTTCCATGCAGACACAAAAATGTATGGAGAGGTGGCCATGCTTATACTACAACTGCATGTTTTTCAAGGTAATTTTGCATAATATAATACTAGATTATGTTTAATTAAGTAGCAGACCATACACCAGAAAAGTTACAGAGTGCAAGAAAATAAATCATGAAAAAAATTTAGAGCCATGTTGGTTGTCAGCATCAGGAGTGTTTTCCATTCAGTTTCAGTGACAGGAGAAGATGGAGAAGCAGTGGGGGCTTTGTTCGCGTGCCGCTTTAAGTCAGGAAGGAAGTTCACTCCTTAAATCCTGCTCTGGCCACTGCTCTTCTGAACACAACATCATTTACAACTGTGCTGCCAGTGGAACAGGGCACACTCGCATGCATACTTCCTCAGTACACCCACACACATGCACTGTACTTAAAATGGAAAACATTCTAAAAGTTGACTTAACAGCTACTCTAACCACTACTGCCTCATTATTATCAATAATCACCTTTCTAGTACTGAGATTTATAGTATTACTATGTTTACTTCTACCAACTGAACTTCCTTGCAAACAACACTTCTTCTGTAACTGCAATTTACACGATTTACCGAAAGCGACACCTTTGGTACTACTACTTCTCCTCGCTTCCTCCAACCATTACTACAGTTATTATAATTGTGGTTTCTTATATGACTAAGTCAAGGCAAGTCATCATGAATTTATTAATGCAAAATTATGCAAAATATGACTTAGCCAACAGTTCACACCTCAGGGTAGATCAATAATTACAGATAAACCTTATAAAAAAAACTAGGGTGTGGTTCTTTCAGTGAAATTAGTTTATTCCTTCGGACAGACAGAACCGGAGCTGTAGTTAAGCTTTAAGTTTGGTCCTAGACATCTTACAGGGCTCAAGCAGGTACTACAACTACTACAATTACTAGGGGTGTAACGATATCAAAGTCTCACGATATGATATTGTCACGGTACGAACCTCACAGTACAATGTTTATTGTGCTAATTTGTGGCGGCAAAACAGCTAAAACTGTTAATATGCTTCTTTTTCCTCTTAAAATGCCTTAACCAGACTTTAGCCAAAGAACTAAGACTTAAAAGTGATTAGAACTGTTATTTCTTCTTGTAGTCTGCACTGAAATGGAGCAAAGGATCATGGTCTGTGTAGTTCCCACTGTCTTTTTTTTAGTTATTGTTGCACCATAACTCTTCATTTAAGCAAAGAGACTTGTAATTCAATATATTGTGATGGCCCACGATATTATTGTGAGAACTTTGACGATACTATATCACGATATTTCAGTTATTGTTACAGACAGAACCGGAGCTGTGTCAACACTGAAAAAGCTACTAAGTTAAGTGGGGAGTTTAGTCCTGAGCAGATTATAGGGCTCAAGCAGGTACTACAACTCCTCCTCCTACTACTACTACTACAATTACTACAACAACAACTACTACTACTACATGACTACTGTACTTTAACTGTAGCAATGCCATGTTACCAGTGGAATATCGAGACACGATCAAGCACACACACTTCCTCCTTCCTTTACACTCATGTAATTGACTTTCATAAACTTCTCTTGCAGTCATCCGGTGTGTCAAATCTGGTACAGAACCACACTAGAGTTGTCATCTCTTTAAATCATACTACAGAGACTAAGAAAAGTCTGAATATATGATCCAATGTGGTGCTTGTGGAGATTTAAAGGTGCTGTGTCTGGAATGTTACACAGTATGGCATTAATCTTGTCTGTCTTGCATTTATTCAGGTATATTGCTCGAAAATGCATGCATTCTTACTGTGAGCAGGGTGACCGCAACACAGATCGCATCTGTGATTTGGCGTGATAGTGAAACCTGCTTGTCTCCCTGGAGATATATTTGATAGGTTTAATGCCCTACCAAGGGACATTCTAGACAAGGTAACATCTATATATAAGTCGTTAAATAAGTAAGTGAACAGTACAAATATTCACAGCAAAGAGTTTATAAGCACTTTCACAGCTTTCAGAGACAAGAGTGGAGTTTTGCTGCATTTTTAAAAATATTTATCATTCTAGCAAAAATAAATCCGTATTTATCTCCTAACTCTACCGAACTTTGCTATTACAACACAGTAATTTCCCCATTGAGGAAGGATAACATATTTATTTTCCCCTTTTATTGTGGTTTTGTTCATGACATCTTATTTTAGCTGCACTAGAGAGCCTGAGGATAGACTTGTTATTAAAATTAAACAATCTTTCAGAGGTTACATTACACAGTTCATTTTGCGATGCTTCATTTCACTACAGCAAAAGCCAAAACAGGATGTGGTCGACGGCGATGTTAACTGTTTTGTATGTTGTATAACATCATTTCGCAGCTGTCCTTATGGTTTCCTGAGTGTACAAAAAGATGCAGTTCTATCAGCTGTATTCATATATAAAAAAAATCGAAAAAAATAAAGTGTTAACCATAATACAGAACAGGATGGTAGAGACGGATAAACTATGCAAGCAAGGATGTCTATTGCTATACCAGAAAAGGGACAAAATATTTTAGAATGGTTGTGATCTTTATCAGAAGTAGTAAAAACTATGTGGTACTAACAATGGGAACTGTGCAATAATGGGAACTGTGCAATAATGGGAACTGTGCAATAATGGGAACTGTGCAATGAATGGGAACTGTGCAATGAATGGAACTATATAATGAGTGGAGTGTGCAATATTTTAGTGTCTGGCCCCCTGTGACCCCAGCCCTTGGGACAACAGATGGAAATTAGCCTTAGGCTACAATCCGGTGTGTTTACATTCATGTTGTCATGTTTGTTCATTAACATGCTCTGTCCCAATCAAATAAATAAATAAATAAAATAAATAAATAAATAAACAAAGAAACTACTAATACTATTACTATTGTATTTGTATCATTGTGGTATTGAAATCACTATCAAGTAACAGGCTTGAAGTACTTAAACTTCAAATATCTACACTACCACTACTACTTGTACTACTACTACTACTACTACTACTACTTGTACTACTTGTACTACTACTACTACTACTACTACTACTTGTACTACTACTACTACTACTACTACTTGACTACTACTACTACTACTACTACTACTTGTACTACTACTACTACTACTACTGTACTACTACTACTACTACTACTTGTACTACTTGTACTACTACTACTACTGTACTACTACTACTACTACTACTACTACTACTTACTACTACTTGTACTACTACTACTACTACTACTACTTGTACTACTACTACTACTACTACTACTACTTGTACTACTACTACTACTACTACTTGTACTACTACTACTACTACTACTACTACTACTACTACTACTACTACTACTACTACTACTACTACTACTACTACTTTTACTACTACTACTACTTGTACTACTTGTACTACAACTACTTGTACTACAACTACTACTACTACTACTACTACTACTACTACTACTAGTACTACTACTACTATTACTACTACTGCTGCTACAACTACTACTACTAATACTTTTGCTGCCATAGGTACAATTACTTCTACCAATATTGTACTTCCGTTACTATCATGATGCCAAAATATTTGACTAAAACTGCATGCGTTCAATTTATGTGTAAAAGCAAGTATATCGCTCTGTACAAATATATAAACCTGCAGTTTTCATGTAGCTGTTCGACTATACCACATAGTAAATCTTGAGACAATTCAAATCCATAGTAACCATCTGTCTGTCTCCTGAGTCACTGGTCTGAAAGCAGTAAATGAGCCGTCTGTAACCACTGCATGAGACTGAGCTAAAATAGAAACAGGAATAACGCATGGGACATTTTATTCTGGAACAGGATTTGGAGACGGAGAAATGCTATAATTAGATTGGTTTACATTGAGAACTCTATCCATACACTGTAGCTTTCCAGTTATTAAAGCAACGCTGCACAACATTGTAGGATCTGTGAGAAATATGCAGCGTATCTGTGTGACAACTGATCTATATAACATAAACCATCCGCAGAAGTTGGTGCATTAAAGGTGCACTGTGTAACTTTATTGTTAGAGAGTCTGCCAGCTGCTTGAAGATGTTACTGCTTGAATGCTGCTGGAATGTTCCACAGTATAGCATTATCTTATCCATCACCATGAAGACACGCAGGTGGCACCCCCAGGTCAAGTTACCAGGTCTACAGGTCTAACTGAGCCTCTTCACAGCTAAAATGCATGATTTCAAGGTCTTTTAACATTTTTCTGTCATTGAGTAAATGTAGTTTAGATATATTTACAGCTATTTCCATGGAGACAAGCTGAAGGCTGACTCACAATGAGAAAGGTTACAGTGTAATGTGGTCAAAAATCTAAAAAATTTAACAATTAGGGCTGGGTATTGTTGAGAAGTTGCCAGTATGATACATACCTCATTACATAGGCCACAATACAATATGATACATAGTAAACTTTCGATTCGATACGATGTATTTCAAATTGATTCGATACAGTTCAGTAAAAAATAAAGACTAAATGATGGCTATGATACAAATTTTTTTTGTTAAACCTCTTCTTGTGCAAAGTTAATATTGAAACGCAAACATTTAAATTATCAAAACAGTGAAAATGTCAAATGTGTCGCATAAACAAGGTTCCTTCCTCAAAACAAACAACAAAACTGTAGCACTGTAACAAAATAATTTAGTAAAACATAGCAAAAAATACTCTCTGCGATGTATCGATACAGCAGCCCACGATATCGATACTGTATCATCACATTAAACGATACGATATATCGATATTTTTATATTTTTGCACACCCTTACAAACAATGTACACATTCAACATTTTTTAAAGTAAAAGTTAAACTAAATAATACATTTGAAGCCATGTGCTAATGAAAATAAAAATATCTGATCTAACATAATTTCCTGTTTTGTCTTCTTTCTTTAGCCAATACAGAGTTGTCCCATGGTCACAGCACACTGGGGGTCGCTGCTCCTCACATGACCTACACCTGTCCAGAGGGGGCAACGGTGAAGCTGGTCTGTAACCAAAGAGGAGCCCTGAAATACCCCAAGGACAAGCTCCACCACACCTGGTTCTTCACCCAGCAGAGCGACCAGCACTGCTCCAGTCACACCAGGCCCAGAAACATGGGACACAAGCCGCCTCCAGGGGTCCACGTGGGCGCCACTGTGGAGAACTTCTGGCTGACTATGGAGAATGTGACCTACTCAGATCAGGGTCGATACTGCTGCATGGCACTGGATGTACAAGAGAAGCCCGACCATAAAAAAGTACCACTCCAGACTTCACACAGCCACATGGTCCTAACAATCACACCAAGTAAGTACATGGAGATACAGTATGTTGGGTTAGATACATGTGAAATTTTGAAGTAGTACTGCACTAGTCTGCAGTCTAATAAGGCAACCATCTCAAGTGTCTTTAATTTGTATTTTGACTGAAATATTAATAGTGAAGTCTGATATATGTAAGCATGTTTTTATATCATTATATTTAAGTTGTGGAAGTGAGAAGAAGTTTGAAGAGCATTTTTCTGTAACAAAAGTAGGGCTTGCAGTCAATTAAAGATCAATTTATGACTAAAAAGTTGGCATGGCAAAACCTCTCAAATATGTAATGTAATATGTATCTAATCTGACCAAGACTACGCATGCACAGTTCATGCAAAAACAACTAAATTTATAAAGAAAATGTATAAAGAAAAGTCTGAAACTGATAAATTGCAGATCAAACTCATGATTCACTTCAAAATTTTCCTTAAAATCCTTAATCCTTAAAATCTAAATCAACTAAACGACTAAAGAACTTCAGACCTAAAGGAGGATATATTGGCAGGTTTACTCAACATTTTGTAAAGAAACTATTCACAACACTAATGCCATTATCTGGTTAAACTGCACTGAGATCTTTAACTGAGACATAAAAGCGACAGAGAAGCGTGCGGGAATGTTGCTGCAGCAAATCTTGAATTTCCCTCAAGATCAATAAAGAATCTCTCTCCCTCTGTAATCTGATGATATTACAGAGAGGCAGATCAACATTAAAGAGCCGATCTTTGAGTTATTAATTAGTACCGACTGCATGTCTGTGGTACAGTTGAATATTTCGGAGATTGAGTATACTCCTGTGTGAGTAAAATGGTAACTGCTGTTGAGGTTTGGCTTTTATAACCAGATCAGCCACTGGGAAACGTGTAGGCAGGTCTAAACTTGCTGAGAGATTAGACTTTGGACAATTAGTCAGCATCCTGTTCCCTGATCTCTCCATATTCATGTTTGTGGTGGTAGTGTTTCTTTATTGTGACATAAAGAAACAATGGCTTCTTTTTGCCTTTGTCCGCAGGGAGAAATGGCTCCGTGTGCACATATGTGGACGCCACTCCGCCCGGAGGTCAGTCCCTGTAATTACGCCTTTAAGCGGGTACATCCACACATTCTGTTTGATTTGTTTACACTGCGTCTTCCCTCCACAGGCACGGTGCCAGTGGCTTTGGCTGTGACTGCCTGTGTTCTGGCTCTGCTTTCACTGCCTCTGATTCTGATGCTGGTTTACAAACAACGAAACGGCGTCCATTCAAGCAGACGTGAGTATTACTGATCATAATACTACAGTGGAAATGTAGACTGTTTGGTGCACTATGGAACTTTTCTAGGGGAGAGACAGGTGGTGACCTGCTGCCTTGATAGTTGAGTTGATATTGCTTTGCCTGAATTGTTCCACAGTATGATAATAGACATGTTTAACTCTATGGAGGCAAGATGATACCATCAGGCCAAGTTACAGGTTAAATTTGACAAGAGGGAAGTCCAAAAAGTCACAGTAATAATGGGTGGTTTTCCAAAGCATTTAGCAATAAACACCTGTAATTGAACAAAATGAAAAATAGATTTAGATTAATGCCATGCTGTGACTTTCCAGGCTAATCTATATCATGTCTATGGAGACAAGCAAGTGGACCAACAGAAAAGTTACAAAGTGCACATTTAAGTGCTTTTCGTAGTACTTAAATGTGTAGTAGTAGTAGTAGTAGTAGTAGTAGTAGTAGTAGTAGTAGTAGTAGTAGGACAAGCTGACAAGTCTGAGTCAAAAAGTCAAAGCAAGTTGTTCTGTATTCAAACAGTAGTTGCAAGCAGTAGCAATAGTAGCTGTAGTAGCAGTAGTACTACAAGTAGTTGTAGTAGTAGTAGCAGTAGATTAATGCACATAACAGATTTGTTTTCTCCCATCTATAAGAACTACCAACAGTAGGTGACCATAATTCAGTCATCTGTTCAAGTTAAGGGTCAAGCTTGTATCCTCCCGCTGTGTTTCCCAGTGGTGTTTTTGAGTCACTTGTTTCCTGGTCTGGAGTTGAACTGTTCCTCTTTGTTTCATTCACTCACAATGGGCCGTTTCCCCTTTCCTCCCTCCGCAGGTGCTCAGGAGCTCGTGAGGATGGACAGGTGAGATTTCCCACACTACACAATTGCACAATGCACAGCTGCTCCTTCTTATTAAAGGGCCTGTACCAGATTTGTTTTCATGTAATAAAATACAATGTGTTTTGCCTAAGTACAGATTATTTGTAAACACGGCTCTAATTGCTGTCTGCATCTAACTGTAGATTATCATCCACACAACAGGAAGTGTGCTGTTTGCATGCTAGTTGTTGTTAGCAGTGGCGTGATTGCAAAACTCTGGCCTCTGAAAGTTGTCAAACATGCTTATAAACCTGATAAATAATTAGGATGCTAGTAATGCCTTAAAAAAAAAAAAGTGTTTCAAATGAACTGGTTCCGTTTTCACATGTTTAACACAATGGAATCAGTCACTGCTCCTTTAATACAGAATTTAACTATTATAATCACTATTAGAATACAATAAATATATTTTTTTTAGCAATTTAGACAGTGTATAATGGAAAATTTACAACAAAAAATGACAGCAAATCTAAAAATCAAATTTTGGAGTAGAGACTGCATGTGCCATTACCTACTACAGTATGAGTTGCAAATTAATTCACTGAATAGCTTGTTGCATAAAACATCTAAAACTTGAAAAATTACACCAAAATGAATGCAGCCCTGAAGCCTATTTCTTTCACAGTAAACCGCTGGCCTAGGCTGTCATTTTATTACCATTTTAAATAAAATAGAGCTTTTTAATGGTATATTTTAAAACTATTTCCCTTCATAGTGATTTTACAACACTATTTTCTGTGTAAAGTATGGTATATCTCATGGCAATACAAATTTTGGGCTTACTGTACAAGATAAATTACCTCCATACAGTCAGCAACTTGAATATCAATTTATCCAGGTTTTGGAGTGGCACAAAGTGTAGACTTTTTGACACCTTCTAACCTCATTAGTAGGGCTGTAACTATATCCAAGTCTCACGATGCGATATCGTCACAGTATGAACCTCACAGTATGATATTTATTGCGATATCGTGGGAAAGCTCACGATATGGTGGGGAGTCTCATGATTAGGGACAATATCCAAACCTCTTGGTACGATATTTTCATGATATACATCTCATGGTACGATATTTATTGTGATATTTTGTGGAGACTGATCTGCTACTTTTTCCTCTTAAAATGTCTTGACAAGACTTAATCCAAACAACTAAGACTAAGTGCTTAGAACTGTTATTTCTTCTTGTAGTCTACACTGAAATGGAGCAAAGAATCATGGTCTATGTAGTTTCCTGCTGCACCATAACTCTTAATTGAAGCAAAGAAACTTGTAATTCGATATATTGTGATGGTCCACGATATTACTGTGAGAACTTTTACGATACGATACGATTTATGTTCCTTTTAAATCTCCAGCTGTGTTTTGTTTTACTAATCATTTCCTTTTTCATATTTCCCATTTCCAGTGAAGCTCAGGGACATGAAAACCCGGTGTTTCTTGGTGGATCTCCTCAGGTTAAAACCAGAACTGTGTCTCAGATCATGACCAGGCAGCCCTCCGAGACAGGGCGCCACCTGCTGTCCGACCCCGGTACACCCCTCTCTCCGGCGGGACATGTGGACGTGTTTTTCCCGGCAGAAGGTAATGCACAACAACTTCATACAATTAGGTAGACTAGTTTAAATCCAATACTTAATTCTGATAAAGATGCACTATGTAAGCTTTCTGGAGATGTTATCGTCCTTCCTGGAACACCCCGCAGTATGACATTAAAGTTTTCGATCTCCAAGGAGAATAAAATGTGGCTTTACACCGCCAAGTTGCAGGTCAAATCAGTGGAAAAGCTGAGTATGTTTGTAATGCATTTTCAGAAATGAGCACACATTTGACAGTAATCCTGAGCGGTTTATTGTGTCATATGTATTACACCAGATGCCCTGCCAGATCCTCTTCATTCATCCATGTTTAAGAATTGCTCCAGGACAATAGCTTTAGTTATTTGTGGCTTGATTATAATAGAGCTTACTGTAGTCTAGTGGGGGAAAATGGCAGAGTGGTCACCATTTATCTGCGCAAATCTATGACAGCTTTGTTACGCTATGGCTCAAAGCTACATTATTATGTTGCACAAAATTTGATGAATTGACAGTCTAGTATTCGGCTCATATGTCATGTAGGCAAATATGTTGTCCCTGCCATTTCAGACTTTGCGGAGCCACAGTTTTCAACAATTGTAACTTTCTCAAAAATTGGGGCTCTCGCTTCTGAGCAAAATAGTCTGAAATATCTTTGTTTTGGAGTGAAGATGCATTGCTATATCCATCTTCTGCCCTGGAAGCAATAGTTCAATCAATGTGAAAGGCATTTGAACTGCTACGAACAATGGTGTTGTAGCTATAAATACATTTTAAGATGCCATTGGTGCTGGAGGTCAGAGAATAGGACTGTGCGGAGTGATTGAACTTTGAGACACGACTGAAGGCGCAGCGGTGTCATAAAAGCTAAAGCTATTTTGATTTTAAATATATTCCCTTTTTAACTTTGTTTTGGTGCAGTGCCTAATGTTCCTTGATGACAAATTAATGACTGCGAGGCTTATTAGCAAGTTCTGCCATAATTTAAAATGGAAATTGTTATCAGCTTGTTCCCATACTAAAATTAAAACACATTAGTAAGACGCAGGCCAACCAAGCGTCTGTCATTTGCATTTTAGATTTTCGGTATTCACATGCAACTGCAAAACACGTCCATTATTTCAAAACGAACACAGTTTTTGGTAAAAACCTGATGCAACAGCAGTAACTTAGCCTTCTTGTGAGTTATGTAGTAACTTCCTGGATGTGGTGCAAGATTTGGAGGAGTGTTTGTAAATGTTATGTGCAGAGAGGCACATAGACGACAGCTGGTTCAGACCTCAAATATTAAGGAGTAAATCTCCCATATGAACACTGCAACCCTTTCCCTGCAAGTCTCCAGGTCTCCACCCAGTAGCAATGCTTGACAGGCATAAAGGCAATGTTAAGCTGGTATAATTTGAAATATTATTCAACATTTCTAATTTTGAAGCATTGCCTTAGTTATATTCAGTCCTTAGTTATATGACTTTCAACTGGTAAAGAGGATAACATTTCACTTCTGACCCAATATATTTGATTTTTAATGCATCACCTTTGCCAAAACTGTTCCAGAGTATGGTATTAAATATATCTATCCATCAATTGAGTCATATATCATAAAAAACATGCATTCTTATGGTGAGTGGGATTGCCTCTCCTCAGATCCGATGCGTAACTTGGCCTAGTGTCATCTGCTAGGCTCCATGGATTGTGTATTGTAGGCAAATGCAGTAACATTTCTATAAAGACAAGCAGGTGGCGGACACTTCACCGGAAAAGCTACATAGTATACCATTAATCCTAGGCCATTTTACCTTTTTTGGAACATAAATAACCTGTTTAGTTAATCTTTAAGGCTTAAGTTAAAGCAATATTGAAGTGTTAAAGTTAAAGCGAATGTCAATCCCCCTGTTTTTTCACTTATTTTCTAGAGGGGCACCTTACAGACATACCAGGCATTCTTCGCTAGTGCCATGTTTCCTGCTTTTTAAAAGGCCAAAGACTTCACATAACTTTCTTTTCTGAGCCCAAAATATTCAGAACTAGCTGATTCTTTGAAACGCCAACTTGCAAAAAAAAATATCTTTCATCTTTCACTACCTCTTAGCAGTTCATGTATGTTTTGTAAAAGTGTACATTTGGGTTTCATTTCTACTGTTTATCTTTCTGTTTTAAATGAGACACTTCACTATTTTTGTGTTATTTGGTATGGTACCTTTCTGTGATGGGAATTTAACTTTTAACCAGTTCCCTATTATTGTCAGTCTCACAAATCAAACATTTGTTCTGCTTTCAAATACATTATACAGTGTTCTATTTATGAGAAATGACTAAAACGGTTATGGAATTTGCAGGATCAAAAATGTATCTATAACTTTTACAAATTTGCATAATGTCAGGAAAAGCTTGATTGAAGTTGTCTGGATCACATCCTGTTTATGTAACCGTTAAAGTGCATTGTAACTTGAGATAAGACCACACCAGCCAACTTTCACTCCTTATATGAATCACCCGAAGTTTGTTCAGCAATGTTCCTTCACTCCCCCCGTTCAACTAGTCATCATAATCTAGCCTGTGTGAAGCTCCCTTAAAAAAACTTTTTTCACATAAACATAGATTATTTGTTGTTTTGGAGCTATATAAAATTTGAATATGAAGTATACTGTACATAAAAACTACAACCAGATCTGGCAAACAGTGATATTTATATTTCTTAGTGATATTTCTGCGCTTTTGGGATAACTCTCTAGTCACTTTATTGCAATACTTCCATCTGAACCCATGACATCTTCTGACTGATTGCTATAATATCATCTAATTATTGTCACAATAAATAAAAATATTGGGATTGTACAGACCAGAGGTAGGGACCTGAGTGACTATTTTTATGACTTGAGACCTGACTTGATAAAATGGACTAAGGCTACGTTCAGACTGCAGGGCTTAACGCTCAATTCCGATTTTTTTGTGAAATCCGATGTTTTTGCGAGGTCGTTCACATTTACAATTAAATGCGACTTGTCTGTGACTCCAGTGTGAACGGTAAATGGCCCGAAAGTGTCCCGCATGCGTACTGGAGGACACGATGACGTCAACCCCATGCGTCACCGCAGCGAGCGTGCTCTGTGTTTACGGAAGTTGTCCAAACATGGACGTGAGCATTGAGCACCTGGTGATTTTACAGTTCCGGTTTCCGCCTGCTTCAGCGCAGAATAGTGACGTTTGTCGCTTGTTGATGGCGTGTAGGTCGGATGGATGCGCTTTGGCTGTTCAGACTGAAGTCGCATGTCAAAAGATCGGATATGTATCGGTTTCAGGACCACATATCCAAGTGGCCTGGGTCGCATTTGAAAAAATCTGATCTGTGCTGTTCAGACTGTCATTAAAAGATCGGATACAGGTCACATAGAAGCCAAAAAATCGGATTTGGGTCACTTCAGGCTGCAGTCTGAACGCAGCCTAAGACTTGGGACTCGACTTGGACTTGAAGGTCAGTGACTTGGGGCTTTACTCGGATTTGAGGCCTGTGACTTGAGAAGACTTGAGAAGCACTTTTAAATCTGAATTATTTATATTCTGACATAATAATTCATAGTAAGATCTTGTCAAGACATTTAAAAAGGAAAAATTAACTAAATTAATTTCTACAACTCTTATATAAATACTCATACATAAATATACCAAGACTTTTTAAGTACAGTTTAGTTTAAGTCATATAAATTGCAAAAATCTAAGCTATATTTGGTTAAGATATAAGACTTGAAATGATTTGAGGCTCAAAGCAGATGACTTGGACATGGACTTATGGGCCAGTGACTCGAGACTCAACTTGGACTTGCCTGTATTTGACATGGGACTTGACTTGGACTTGGGGTCAAAGACTTGAGACTTACTTGAGACTTGCAAAACAATGACTTGGTCCCACCTCTGGTACAGACAATGTTATTCCTGCTTAAGAAACTTCCACTTGTCAATGGCCCAAACCTATTCATTTGTTTTACTCTACAACCACCTCTGCCACAGCTCACTCGATGAACACATATTCCATTATCGTCACCTGTCAGTAGTTATAAAGTTATGTTTGATATGTGTAATAAACCTTGCATGTGTTTCTTTTCCAGATCCAATCCCAGAGTCTCCAGACCTTCTCTAAACTGTGGATGGGAACCTGCCCTCATAGATCATCGCACCGTTGGATTGTTGTCTGTACAGTGTCTGGACTCCAGGAGATTATGTAAAAACTCATTCCAGCTGCAACAACAGCCAGCGGCTAAAACAGGAATCTCTGCTTTTGGAGCTGCATGCTCTGTGGACGTGAATTCAGAGACATGTGGTCGAACTGAAGTCTGCTATCTGTAAATCTGATGATGTTTGCTGCAATAATATTATACGATTTTATTGGCTGCTTTCTCAACTATTCACTTTCCAACTCTTAAAATACACTGTTTCTCTAATCCTAATATAATTGTTTATTAGGAATGCAGTAAGAAGTAGCACATATTCATTAGAGAATATGCCAACATAATCCTACTGTCAACAGAAATACTTACAGATGTTGAGTAAATTAGATTATGTCATGATGGTAAAGATACAGAATCTTTCTTTAATCTTTATTCTGCTTGCTCATTTTGTTTATATGACAAGGGTGAAAACCTGCTTTTTGGCCAAATGACTGAAGTGCTCCAATAGCATTTCAAAGATGCAAGCTTGTAATGTTTTTTTTTTTGTTTTTGTTTTTTTACATGGACCAAGGAAATTAAAATGGTAGGACTGATCTAGTGCCTCAATGAACATACTGTTATTCAAAGATTCAACCTCACAGGGAAAAATTAGAAGTTACATGTTTTATTTGACATAGGGCAAATAAATGAATATGGTAAGAGTGAGATTCCGTTGGCATAAAGGGCTTTTACTCATGTTAGTCATACCAAAGTTCTACTTATTCAACTTGCTCCGAGTGCCATTCACACTGAGGTTTGTGGTACCCATTAAGGCTGACCTCTTTCCTCTGCTACCTCACTTACTGTCAGCTGTGCCGCTGCTGTACTCCTCTTCCTTCCTGGATTCTCAAAAATGCACCAATTTAAATGTGCATAAAACTGTAGCTGTAAATATGTATATGCATTTATTATAAACATTTCATCTAGCATGGAATAATTATAGATATGTTCATCTGAAAGAAATCATTATTGCACTCAAAATAAGATGGGGGTTTGTGTTTTTGCAAATACTAAAGGTGTATGCATAACCTTTTTATTTTTCCCAAATACTTAAAGTCAGAGTATGCAACTTTTTAGCCAGAAAACAGATTAAAATAATATAATGTATGTTTTTCATTTTGCTTGTGTTATTGCACTTAAAAATGTAGAAAAACTTGTGTCTTTACTCTGAGCGAGGGCCTCCTCCTGCTTGTTTCCATGGAAATGTTGATCCTTTGGCTATAATATTTCGCAGTACAGCATTAAACTTATCTGTCTCCATGGAAAATGTTCCAGAGTATGTTTTTAACTTTTTATTTCCATGGAATCATGCAGGTGACATGCCACCTCCGGAAAGTTACATACTGTACCTTTTAAAGAAACCAGAAATAAGAGATATTTTATGGGCTGTGCCTAAACTTCTGCAGATCCACTGTGTTTTATTGAACTTTATGTCAGGCCAAAGTCAGCGATAAATGTGTAGCATGAACAGATGACAGGGTAGGGTGCATCATTCAACTGTTAAATATTATAATATTTGTGTTCAGTAATGTGTATATGTGATATGTATGTGTTTAGGATGATTGTTGTGGATGTTTGACTATTTTTGCTACTTATAAAAGATGTGTACAAAGCTTATTATGATGATGTTTGCTCAAATATAATTGCTCTGTATATTGCATTTAAATGGTCCTTACTGCGGTCTGTACAATAAATCTGCACCTTTTCACCAGAGCATTGTATTTACACTCAGACCATATTGTTTATTGGAGTGGCAGGCCTCCCTCTCTCCGCACAAGGACGAGATGTACCTGGGCCAGGGGACCCATTACAGACAAACAAGGCTGTTCCACTCGTGTGCTTGGTGCACCATGGGGAGCATGGCATTGAGGAAACTAAAGGATAAAACCAACCAGTTTTATAGGAGACAAGAGCTGCGTCAGACTGTCTCATCTCAAAAACTGTAAGCTACCCAAAAGTACTTAAGCCTTTTTAATACCAAATAAGCCTCATCAAATGAATTATGACTAATCTAAATAAATAACAAAAATAAACAAATTATATAAAAATACTTTGAGCCCATTTAAATTAATTGTGCACTCTGAGGGTCCGTCACCATGCCTGCTACCATAGAGATGTCATTGTTTTTTTCTAAAATGTTCCACAGTATTACATTAACTTTATTTATCTTTCATGAAGGCAAGCAATGGATGTCGCCAGAACCAGTTAGAGGTCAGATCTGTGGAAAGGCGACCCTGTTCACAATAAGAATGCATGCTTTTCAATGTATTTTCTTTGCATTAAACATACCTGTGATTGAATAAATGAAGATGTTTAAGGCCGTACTGTGAAACATTCCAGGCAAAGCAATAACATCTCCATGGAGACAAGCAGGTGACAGACCCTTCACCAGAAAAGTTACATAGTGCACCTTTAAATGACAACCTACTTCAACAGAAGATTGCACAATAATTTGAAAACAGAAAAAAAGGTTAATTACTTTTGATTTAGATTTAAGTAATCCTTCCCTGAACAGCTCAATTGCAGGGATTACTACATTAATTTGTAAATCTAAAGTTCTTAACCACATTGCAGTGTGAATGCTTGTGTAAGCCTTGTTAATAAAAGTTCTTCACTCTAAAATCCACGCGCCTAGCAATAGCACAATGGCAACTGTCCAGGGTGTATATGGCTCTGGGCTCAAATTGTCTGAGACTGACTGAAAAAAGCGGGAAACATGTCAGTAGGAAAATTTGAGCTCTTTCTGTCATCTCTGACTCATTCAACACTTAAAAACAACTCCTGGCAATGAGCAGCATGGAAAACCTTCACAAGTAGCATCCATTTATGAGGATGTTGACGTAGTGATAAAGCAGCCAAAAGAAGTCATGGTGCTGTTTGTGTCTGTCCTAAGTCTGGATAAATGAAGAGGGTTGGGCATCTGATATAAACAAAACCACAGATCATATTTATTCTACTATAATGTCCATGTTTACACTATTTTCTGATCTATATTATAATGTTTCGTCTTCAAAAACAAACCTGGAGTTGTGTTTTGTTTCATTGGCACATGTTTAACACACAAATCCTGCATATTTCGGTCTTCTCTCAAACTGAAAACACTTTGTTCCACCTTGTGATGTCATGTGGTAATACAGGAAGTGCTCCACCGTGTTTTTAAACTCCGTACACATTCACTAGAATCACTTGGATGATTTCAGCCCTGGAATTGACCATCTCTACTGAACTAAAAGTAAAAGGAGCTGTTAACTTGAAAACTATCGCTACATGACACCAGAGGATGTAATTTTGAATGAAACAAATGTGTGAAACAAAACACGACTCAGGGTATGTTTTTGAGAAGTTAACAGAATTATAACATGGCTTAAAACTTTAAATATGCACTATATAACATTCCTTTGCTTTTCTTCATAGACATATAATTGCTTTGCCTGGAAAGTTCCACATTATGGCTGTAAACCTTAATGTGTAATTGAATAAATGCAACCTAATAATAAATGCAAAAACATTTCCATGGAGAGAAGCTAGACTCTCTCTCACCAGAAAAAAGTGACATAATGTAAATACATTTCTTTAAAAAATATATATGGGAAGACAAATTATCTCCATACTATACCAAATAAACATGCATAATACTCCATTTTGGTCGCCTGAGGTAAAATAGGTAAAAATCTTCCAATTAACTTAGTCTTGGCCAAGCCTAGGTCCGGATCTGGAGATGGCTCTTGACTACAGACTGTATAAAAGAAGTGGACTAAGCGAGTGTGACGTCACCCATAGCGTTCAGCGCTGCTCAAAAGAGGCTCGAGATGCCCACAATACAAGAGTGAATCTGGAGTCAGGATCTATGTTATGAATAGGATATTTTTGACAGACAAAATAGCGGGAAAAAAAATAAAATCTGGATCATGTAGAGCGGGTTAATACAAACATGTAAAGACCAAAATGATGAGGCTTACTGCAGCAGTTACAGAGAGAGGAACGACAAGATCGTAAAGTAAGTCAGTTGGAGCCAGGGTCAGAAGGAACCGGAAGAGCCTCCTGGCAAACTTCCTATTTGGCACACGGCATCTAGCACGTTAGCTATGTGCACTCATATATATGGTCTATGAACTTGACAGACGGCCCCAGCAGCATTGAAGGAAGGGTCAAATGCTGAGAATGAATTTCCCTCATGGGGGATCAATCAAAGTGCACCTTAACCACTCATTCACACTTTTAGTATTTTTCCCACTTATATTCATAACAATGGCTGGAGACAATTGTTTAGCCATTATATTTAGATGTTTCTTACTGAGAGCGGTGGGTTTCCATCGTCCTCCACAGTGACAGTGAGGAGGTATTCATCTTGGCGTTCCCGATCAGGAGGGGCAGGGCGTGTCACCATTTCCCCAGTAACACGGTCCATGCGGAACGTCAGGTCCTGGTTTCCGGAGGTGATGTAATAAAACAACATGGCGTTTGGCCCGATGTCCCGATCAGTGGCAATCACGCGGAGAACAGACGTGCCACCTCCAACGTTCTGAAAATACAGTGACATCAGTGCTGTGTCAGAATATATAACGGCTGAATCGGAAAATGTATGTTTTTAAAATGCTTAATTTGACAGGACAATAAACTAATTGGATTTAAAGTAGACTCAACTTATTGTTCAGTATATAATAGCTGGAACTATATATTTTTGAGCAGAATTATGTTCCAACTATGAGGAAACTAACAGAATCAATAAATAAATAATAATAATAAAATCAATACATAAAAGCAATACTAAAAAATTTTATAGATAAAAACAATAAATAAATAAATAAATAGAATACACAGAAGACCACACAACTCATGATGTATTAAAAGCCAGAGAATAAAAATGGGTCTTAAAACAAGACTTAAAACACTCCACTGTGGGGGATGTTGGGATGTGGGGAGACAGAGCGTTCCAGAGTTAAGCACCACGAACTGGAACTGGCTCTCGGACCTCAGAACACATGCTGGGGTGTAAATCTGGATGAGGTCTGAGATGTATTGTAGGGCCAGTCCATTCAAAGCTTTAAAAACAAATTATAAAATCTTAAAATCAATTCTAAAATTAAAAGGAAGCCAGTGCAATGACGCAAGAATTGGGCTAATGTGATCGCGCTTTTTGCTCCCTGTTAATAAGTATTATTATAGTATTATTATATACTGTTATATTGTATTATATATTATTATAGTGTATTATTTGCTCAAATTATTAAATCATCTTTATAATATGAATATTGAGGTGACTGATGTCCCACCTCGCTGATGCTGACGTTGTAGCCCCTCTGGCTCTGGATCACTGGAGCGTTGTCGTTCACGTCCAGGATGTTGATGGTGAGAGAGTGGTCCGTGTATCTGGGAGGGGCACCATTGTCTGTGGCCCTCACCTGCAATGACATTATGTAAAAAGGTGGAAAATTATTCACTACAGAGTTTGAGATTGTGTTATTACACCTCAAGGAATTTTCAGTTAATCTAATGTTTAACCAGAGGAGATTTGACGATGCTAAATACTACATTTAGTGTTGACTGATCCTGTACTGACCTTGAGTAGGTAGCGGTCCACTGACTCTCTATCCAAAAAGGCGTTGACATAGACCTCTCCATACGTGTGGTTGACCGTCTTGATTTTGAACACGTCCTGCATATTCCCAGCCACCAGAGTGAAGTTTACCTGAAAGACAGTACAAAAGGAGTGGGAATTTTGGCCAGTCAATGTCAGTCTAGCATACCGTAAACACAAATGAACAGGATTTTCTCAGGGTAGATTATATTATATTCTTTCCAGGCATATGATCATGATCTTACAATGGTTTTTACAAGCAAGGTTTAAGACAGTCAGTATAGAAAGTGTGGTTATTCAGTGGGTCAAATACGGCACAATTGATTTTAACATTAAGTTACATTCATCTAGGGCTGTGCATTTAATCAAATAAAATATTGATTCAATAGTTTTAAACAGCGATTTTAAAAGGAGAGATCTGCAGTCAGTGAAAGCATGCATTTGGAGTTCAAACTTTGATACATTCTTTCTTTTATGTTCATACAATTTATACTGTAAGACATTTTCATACACTGTTAAAAGAAAAAAAATGGAACTGAAAATTCAATATGAGGACTAATATGTTTTTTTTCCCATATTTCCCAGGCCAAATTGTCAAAGCTGAGAACGATATTCTGATTACTGCTTGTTTCAAAGTTCACAAGTCTTATTTCAGTGGGGATTTTATGACGTCTGGAATGAGTCACAAAGTAAATTCACTGTAGCTCAGCATGTAGCTTAAGAAAGGAAACACGCTTGCTCTTGCATAATGTGAAACTTAAATTACTATAGTTTCTTACCAGGCCGTTCAAACCAGCATCTTTGTCTCTGGCCAAAACCACGGCGACTTTCCTGCCCATGGGCGTGTCTTCAAAGATGTCCACGGACGTGTCGGACGTGATGTCAAACTCTGGGCTGTTGTCGTTTTCATCCAAGATTGTAATAGAAACCTACGAGAACAACAGGTTTAAAAATGTCTACTCTGAAATGTCCTTAAAGCTACCATCCATGATTAGACTGGCCGACCCACCCATTTCGTTCTCACATAAAACCACCAGATACTATCTACATCACTGGAGTCTAATAGTGTGACAGAAGAAAACCAGAGAGCACAGGTGAGTCTAAACATAGGCCAGGTGAGGGAGAGGGGAGCA